TTTATGTATGCATTCAAGTATATGTGATGATATTGAAAATATTTATGGTCCGTTATGAAGACATTATTGTTGGACATAATGTACACTTCCTATTAAAGTATCATGTTAGGAAGAAGAGTCAATATAGTAGTACATGGAAGGGACTATCCCGACTTGATAACATACAACCGCCATGACTCATGTTGATTTTATTTCTAATAATGAATTATGATGACGTCAGTGTATAGAACCTTTAGCCTAGTAAATGCGCATTATAGTGAATGTTAATTAAATCATGAAGGCACACCTTATGACATGAGCCAAGTGGGAGAATGTAAAACTATTTGTGTCTCATGTGTAACGTGTGTCAATTGGTTTAATTAATAATAAAAGAGGCTTTATGGTAATTGACGTTTCGCATTAATGGTAATTGACGTTTTGACGTTTTTCATTATGGTAACGTTTTGCATTAATGGTAATTGACGTTTCGCATTAATGGTAATTGACGTTTTGACGTTTCGTATTAATGGGAAGTTACAGGGAGTTATTTGAAACTCCGTAACTGGTGACATGGTTCAGTTATATAAAGAAAAAAATGGTGAGTCTCTGATTATGATTATCTCTCAGAATTCTCTCCTTCATGGTCTGCCCATAAAAGTTGTATCAGATCCCTGTCATAGACGATACAAGGAAAGCAGTACGCTCTTATGTGAAAATCATGAATTCTAAAGATCATGTATCATGTTCTTGAATAGGCATTGTTGAACACGAATCATGAATTATTGATGAATAACTTACAACACATTCATACAAAATCCAACAATTTCGTTACACTATAACGCGTACAAAACGGCCCTATGAGTTTTTAAAAATATGATTTTTATATTCAGTTTATGATAATATTCAAAAATTTAAAATTTAAAAAAATTCAGTTTTCCAAAAATCTTACAAAATGACGCGTACCAAACGGCTCAATGGGTTAAATCTAATGGCCTAGGACATATGCCTCTTGCCCATGGGGCTGTTTAAGGCTATGTATGAAACGATTTACATAATTCCCTGGGTCATCCGAGGGTTTGAGCCCATTTTAAAGGATAATTCAAGTATCTTAAATGGAACATGTATATGGAGGTTCAATCCTTAACATAAGAATTTGGTTTCCTTCAACTATTGGCATCAGTGGCGGATCCAGAAAATTAATGAAGGGTGGGCACTTAATAAGCTCAATATATATATATATTTGGGTCTAGTCTGGAACGCGACTTGTGAGAAAAATAAACTCACTGAAAAATAAAATAGAAGGAGAAAAATTAAATTGAAAAACTTAAATTTTAAGAAAATGGCATTTTCCTAATTTTGGATCAGATTTAAGGGTGGGCACTTGCCCCCCTTCTCAACAACCTGGATCCGCCTCTGATTGGCATCTAAGTTCATATACATCCACTACCATGCTTATGGATAGCCCAACACACTACCATGCTTATGGATAGCCCAACATACATACGGTCATTCAAAATCATAGCCCATAATCGAATCTCTCCAGTACCACCTTTGGGAGGGGTTTAAAGCCTTAATCCTGGACCCGCCTCGAATCGGATTAGTTGCGAAGCAATGAATCGATTGGAATATTTTCAAAAAAAAAATCATAGCCCATAAGAGATTATTCTTTCTTTCTCTATAATTTTGTTTGTATAGCTTGCATCCCTAATTGGTTTTGTTGTTTATCTTCCATCGGGTACTAAATCTCTTATTATGGGATTTTAATATACCCTAGTCATGTAAACTTTAGATCTATTTCATTCCCTTTTAATTTATGGATTTGATCGTTTATTTTAATGTTGTTCTTAATGCTTTTGCGTGATTGATTATTATTGTAAAAGTATTCACTAGATAGTAAATCACATGATTCTCATAAGTAGTTGAATTTGAGATCCTTGTGAATTTGAAAGAGTGATTAAGGACTAGGAATGTAATATAAGTACTTATGGACAGGTCCAACAACTATCTTCTTACTCTAACCATTTTACCACATAGAGGCAAAGAGGAGATAAGCTAATTGTAGAATAACTCTTTCAAGGTGTTTATCATTGGTTTCTATTTATCTAAAGATCAAGACCTAAAAGTTGGGTTTATCACAAACCCAAGTGGAAGTCAAATTGAAATTAAAAGCTCAATTTTAATATTTAAATAAAGGGCATTATTTTTCTGCAGCAGCGGCAAAAAAGTAATGTCTGTCTCAAAGACAATAAAATAAACCCACTAATTTTTTTTATTAGGATTCAACATCGTATTAATTTTATGTCATGATTTGAGTCGATTTGGCAATAATGAACGGATTACTCGCAATCTGTGTCGATCTTGATATCGTGCATATTCGTATGTTTTTTTTTTAATTTTCTTATATATTAATATAAATAATATATTAATATATAAATATGTCTGCCTCTGTCAGTTATTGCACAACAAAATTTAAATTAAGATAGAAAAGGAGGGGGGTTGGATGAAATCGTAAGAACATGTGTATACTGTATACCTTTTCCAGAGATTGTAGTTCAATTGGTCAGAGCAATGCTCTGTGAAAACGGAAGCTGAGGGTTCGAGCCCTGTGAATTCCGTTGGATACAAATCCAATAAAAAAAGACATCAATTCATTTTGTGTGTAAAAGAGAATCTAAATAACAAAAAAATATCATTCCTAACAAGGCTCCTTCTTTCTTTTTTAAACAAAGTATTTTTGCCACAGTTACAGAAATACTTTTGCAGTTAATTAAACTAAGAACATATATGATAAGTTATGATTTGATGTTCTAATAGGAAGTAATTGATCAACTACTTGTCTACTAAACTTGCAAGTCTGTGGGATATTGGTTGGAAGGGGCGGAGTCTCTCTATTAATAAATTATTGATCATCACCATTATCCTTATTAAATCTACCCGTTGATTCATATTTTTATTTAATACTTTTAGTATTTCTTATTTTTGTTGGTCCAATAGAAAAAGAATAAAACAATGTCTCATGCTTTGTGTGTTTTTCTGTCCTTTTCCACTTAAATATTAAAAAAAATGATAATTTGAGTTTTAGAATAAATAATATAAATCAATGATTTAATTTCAACTAAGCAATATTTATTCAATATTAATGAATTAACCCAAATGAAGAGAAAAACTTCTTCTACTTCTTGTAATAATAATAATAATAATAATAATAATTAAATTTTTTGAATCATTGAGGCAAAGTTAAGATACCTATTTATAATTTCACCAAAAAAGAAGAAAAAAAGAAACCTATTTATAAAAGGCATAAAACTTAAGGTGACTTTTTTGTTTTAATTTTTTAATAATGACTCATATGAGGCCACAAGGCCTCTTTAGTGATGTGGTAGAAAAACACAAACAAAGGTGGTTTGTTAGACAACAAAAGATACCCAAAATGATAAATAATTTATAGTATACACAATTCTGCTAAATAGTTTATAAAATAGTCTTTTTTTTTTTTTGGGTACATATAAAAGAGTCTTTATTTGGTGAGAAATCCCTCCTTCAACGGACTGAAATATGAATATTCCTATAATTATTTTTTATTTAAATTAAAGGTTGATTGTTTGTGTCTTTTATCTTTAATTCGTATCCAAATTATACAATAAAGTTTGAAAATGTATAAATATTTCAAAAAACTTTGTATTTGAAAAATACGATTAATTGAAAAATCTTTCATATTTGAAAGTATTACGTGACTTGCATTCATACCAAAAATCTAAGTTCAAGAAAACACAATTTTTTTTCGTTTCAAACTTGCCAACCAATTAAATTGGATAATAAGAAGTAATTGATCAACTACTTGTTCATTAAATTCGCATGTCTGAGACTTTTTGGGGGAAAACAATATTTGTTTCTCTTTTCACAGTTAAATGAAGGAGAACCACTTTGACCAAGTCATAAATTTTAAACAAGATTAAAGTTGGGTTTAACATAGATCCAAATGGAAGTCAAATTGAAATTATAAGCTCAATTTTAGTATTTAAATAAGGGAGAGGTTATAGTTGCTACTTTTTTTTTTGTTACTACTAAATCATAATCGTTAATTTCCGTCAATATAACGGTTATAATTTATTGGGTCATAACATGTATGATAAGCTATGATTTACTGTTCTAATAAGAACTAATTAATCAACTACTTGTCAACTAAACTTGTACGTGGGATTTTGGCAAAAAAAAAAAAAAAAACTGCTTCTCTTAACAGAGTTAAAGGAAAGAAAACCACTTTGACCCAGTCACAGATTGTTGAATTTTTGCACGAGTTTATTTCGGTTCAACACAAATCCAATTGGAAGCCAAATTGAAATTATAAGGTCAATTGTAGTATTTGATTAAATTAGGAACTTGTATGAAAATATATCAATTAGCCATTCATAAATTTAACAGTTTTCCATTGGCCCACACAGATGTGAATACTTCGGTTCCAGGTGGAGATTAAAGAATGGCATAGCTTTGCCCTCCAATACTCAAACCAAAAGAAAGAAAAGGATATATAGCACTGATGTCTTCTCAATCTAAATTTCCGTCAAATTTTGGTGGACCATGATGATGATGATGATTTTGTCAAATTGCTTCCCTCCACTTTATGGTAACTATTGGGTACTGTTAGCTACTTGAAAACGATTTCTCGATCAAAAAGAGAAATATACCCCAGAATTATAAATAAGGTAAGATCTTTTGACACCGATGTCAAATTTGAAGTTTAACACTTTATCTGAGTTAGATAAAAAAAGATCAATGATATCACATGCTTACAAATCAGAGTCGTTGATCTTTTTTGATCTGACGACTCTCAGATAAAGTGTCAAACTTCAAATTTGACACCGATGTCAAAGAATCCTATCTCCTTATAAATATTCAAGGACCTCCGTCAAAGCAAAATGAATATATTACAAAAGATATTAAAGGAAAGAAAGCAAAACAGAAATATTTAAGGAACAAAATTTAATCATAAAAGTGCAAACTTCATTATCTTAAGAAGGAAGAACAAAGCGTATAAAGTTTATACTTTACATACTAAAATTTATCAAGATTAGAAGGGCCGAAGATTTTCCCTCCAAACAAAATGACTAGAATCTTTCTCACTTTCTATTTGCCTATAGATGTACAGAAAGATAACAAAGGAGCCAAAGCAGAGTCTTCAATGAAGAATTTGAAGATATGGCTTGTAAAAGACTTTTAGACGTGTAAAATAATTAGCAATCTATTTACAAATAACTAATCAAAACAAGACGTTCTCTGGTGACATCATCAGTTACTATTTTTTCCTTCGCTCACTGTTTTCCTCAGTAGAAGCAAACAAGGCCACAGAGATGCTAGCCAGATTCCTACCACTCAGTCTTGACTTTGATTTTCTCAATGGTGCATTTGGAGCTTCAATTTCCTGCAACCCACTTGCATCCTCCAAATCAATGGGTTGTAAACAAGCAAAAGTTTTCTTCTTTGGCGTACTATACTCAAAATGCATCTCTTTAGCAATCTGAGTCTGCAATAGCAGAACCCAACAGTTACTAAATCAGAAAAAAATCAATTGAAACACAAGTGAATCACACTGAAAAATTCAACTCTTGAGACTTACTGCTTCTCTAATCGTTCTCGAGACATGGAAAAGCTGCTTCAAATCTTCATGGTCCACACCACACAACAGCCTTATCTGCAATTCATATTAAAGAAAAAAAAACATAAATTTCAAGAATACACATTACACAATCAGAAAAGAAAACTCATTGGGTAATCAAAATAGAAGCTTGAAATTGCCTTACTCACCAGAATATCGTGAGGAAGAGTCTCAAGTCTAGAAATTTCAGAGTTCAGAGTCATTCTCCCGCTGCAAGTTCTCTTCAATGGATTGGGATTGAGCGGAGAATCTTCCACATTGTTGGAAACAAGAACCCTCTTCCTCCCCAGTGCTCGAGTATAACAATAACCCTCAAACCCTATTTCCATATCTCCAATTGACATAAATACCAGCACACTCAAAAACTTAAAAAGATAACACCCTTTTCCCTCTAATTTCAAAAACCAAAAACTGTTTTATCAGAACAAGAACTTCCGGAGAATGAAATTACACTAAACCGCAACAAGCGGAATATGAAACAGAACTGAGTCAGACTTTTTATTTTTTTAAAAGAAAATGTGTGGAAAATTGAACAAAAAAAAAGGGATAAATAAGATGAAAAAACCGAAGGTTTCCGTATGCGTTTGTTGATGCTAAAGGTAAGAAATCAGAGGATGAATATGGACTTGGTGACCAAACTTAACCACTCAGTAGTTGCGTTTTAATGTTTGGGAAAACAAACTGCGGGTTCTTTTTATATGAAACCACCACGTCAAAGGTTTTTAAATTTTGTATTGTTACTATTTTTTTTTTTTGAACAGAACTTAACGCGTAAGACATTACGCGAACATTCCAGGAAAAACTGTTACAATTTTTTCCCCCTCTCTTCTATGCATAATCACTGTTTAGGATTGAGGAGGAAAAAAAAAAACAAAAACTAGCCGTTTGAAGGGACACGTGGCGACATGGTAGAGGATGAGAGATGCAAGTGGTGTGTGACGTGGTGCTTGGTCGGTTTTGTCGGTAGGTTCTGGAACACACGTTCTATGTACGTGGACGTTTGGATACCATGGACCGTCAACGCAGGGGATTACGGCTATGGAATCTCTATGTAGAGAGACGTGTGAGTTGTGTTTGATCGACGGTGTAACGTGGGTATATGCACATGGGGGTAAAACCTTATTTTTTAATTTTTTTTTTAAACCCACTTTTTAAGGTAGAGTGTTCGTAGTTTGACGGAGATTTTTAAGTAGGCGGCTGGCGGCTGTTTCTGTTTTTGCGTTGGCTGTTTCACATTTTACACCATCTATAAATCCAACGTGAGGCTTTTATTGTCTTTTCACCACGACGTTTTGGTTTTCTTAATCTCACTCCAAAATCCCAATGGTTTGGTCTGTGCTTCATTGATAATGATACAAATAACAAAAATAAAATAAAAATAATTCTCTCATGTTAAATATTTAATTATGTAAAATTTTTATGTTTATTTTTTTTTATTAATATTGATAAATTATAAGAAAAATATAGATACAAACATTTCACACATAAAATTTTAATAAAAGAGAATCACTTCCAAAAAAATAAAAATAAAAGAAGGGATGAAATGTGAAGGATCAAAGAATAATGGTACAATAACAACAATTAACAATAACAGAGTTTCCTATATCAATAGGAGAGTTTAATAGGATTTGGATCCTCTCATGTAAAAAAATAATTATATTATTTGATCACAATAACTGACGTAAGAGAGAAGAATGTATAATTCTTGAATGAGTAGGTGTGATCAAATAACATAATAACTTCTTCACATGAGAGGATCCAAATCTGAATTTAATATGACATTAAATAAGATAAATTTTGTTTTCAAAAATATATATTAATAATAGTACAATAACAACAGTTAACAATAGCAGAGTTTCTTGTATCAATAGCAGAGTTTAATATGATATTAAATAAGATAAAAAAATTTCTTCAAAAAAATATATTGAAAATAGGTTACTCTAGTATTTTAAATTAGTGATAAGCCTGGTAATACGAAAAGAACTCAACGAATTTTCTTAGATAGAAACTACTTGTTCTAACCTGTTAAGTGTGTCTACGACGAGGGAAAATGTCCAACTCGATTAGCGATGTTTTGTTCTATGAATGGGATCGAATCGCGAAACTGTCAATATGAACAAAAAATGCGTGTGTGAGGAATATTGCTGAGCCCGGAACAAAATAGTTTTTGAGATTCCATAATAAATATGGCTGCTATGGCTCTGAAAGTGCCTAGCAATACAAATATGGATTTGACTTATTTAATATTGATGAGAGTGAGGCGATGGAGATAGGAGAGTTGAGAGTAAAGAAAGAATATATATATATATATAACTTGAATTAATTGATAGTCATTGAATTAAAACTGATTTAACATCAGTTAAATTGATACGAAGAACGATAAATTTAGTTGTTAGTTGGTAGTAAACATAACAACCTCAAAAGATATGACTAGCAAACAAGATTCTTTTCCAAATAGCAATTTGAATCATAGAAGTGGCGTAGTCATCTTAGTATCTGGGCCAGCTACATTTTAATAAATTTTATTTATTATATATAATTATATAAATAATTATAATAGACCCTTAACTAAAATTGTAAGTTGGCCCTAGTTAAAATTGTAACAGTGGTATCAGACAAAGATTTGGAGCTGCTTTGCGTGTATGACCAAATAACAGATTGCTTTCTTCTTAATTTTTTCTTCTTCTTTCATCTTTTTTCAATTGAGGTTTTCTTCAAACCTTTTTTTTTCTTATTTGCACTCACCACCCGGAACCCAGCCATTACGCGACAAGGCACGATGTTTCGTTCCTTTCTCAATATTTTATTGATACATGTTCTTGGAATATGCATTGGTAATTATATTGTCCGCTGGGGGAAAAATGATTTACATTTTTGAACTTTGTAAAAGAGAAATTCTTTGTCTTTGCTGACCATAATTATTTATTGGGTGTTTCTAATATTAGTGAAATTCATGCCCTTTTTTTTTATTTACAACTTTTTTTTTTGTGTGGATGTAGTTATTGATTTTATTTCTTTTAAAAAATGGAGTGTTGTTTTACGTTTACATTTTTTAAAAAAAATTATTTTAATGTACAGCTACAATTGCTATTGTAATGGAATTGAAATGTTTCTTGGTGTTATTTGTATTTGATTTCACAACAGGAATGAAAATTTTGACTATTAATCAGTGAAAACTGTTAAAGAGAAAAATAAATGAAGATATATGTATATATATGGAGTATGAAAATTTCTTGTACATATTCTTTTTCTTTTTTTTTTGCATTTTTAAAATTTTTAAAATATCTAAACACTGATTAAATGATTTACGTGAATTCAATATCATTTAAATGATTTTAAACATTTGTTGCTGATTGTTCCATGTTTCTTTTTAATTGTGAAGTTTGTTGTCCCTCTATGTTGATGTTCTTAACAGATCACGACTAGGGGTATAAATGGGTCAAGTTAGGCCAGACTTTAGTTTTGATAGCCTAAATCTATGTAAAATATTTAGAGCCTATATTGGCCTATTAGCCCATTAAAAGTTTGTTTTATCGGTCTGGTCTGACCTATTATAAAAAACTAAAAAACCTAATACGACCTATAAGGTCTATCAAGTTGCAAACTAAAATTTATAGACCCAAACTAAATTAAAATATAAAAGATAAAAAAATTTATTCACAGAGATCACATAAAATAAATTTAGAGTAAATACCATTTTTGGTCCCTAACAAAAAACACGGTCCCCACTTTAGTCCCTTACAAAAATAAATTAGTGAGTTAGTCCCTAACAAATTCAAAGTGGACCCATTTAGTTGAAATCGTGGTCCCTCACAAATTCAAAAAAGACCCATATTAATCCCTCAAAAGGACTAAAATGGGTTCACTTTGAATTTGTTAGGGACTAACTGACTAATTTATTTTTGCAAGGGACTAAAGTGGGGACCGTGTTTTTTGTTAGGGACCAAAAATGGTGTTTACTCATAAATTTATATTAACATCACATGAAATAAATTTTCATTAACATCACATGAAACAATGTTCATAAAAATCACATGAAAATGTTCATAAAAGTCATATGAAAATTTCATATATGTATATATACATATAATGTGCACTTTCTATACTAATTTAATTTTATATTTTATATTATATTTTAAATTTTAAATAAATAATTATTATTTGTTAAAATAATATCAATCCTATTACTTTAAAAATTTTAAAAATATTTTGATAATTTGATATGTTAAATTTTTTGATCTCGGCTAAAATTAAATTTTGACTGCACCACTGAGTAATAGGATTTAAAAGTGTAAAGATTTATCCCAAGTTTTTAAACCAATTGAGCCAATTTGCTTTAGCGGGAGTGAAATTATATCTATAAAGTATTATTGGATAAAGTACACTTCCAATAAGGATTAGACATCAAAGTGAAATAAGAAAATAATAAAAGCTCAAACCGACACATATACGCTCCAATTAAAGACCAAAATTTATATAGTGAAAATAACACTACAAAAAAAACGCTGTTTAGCCACGTTTGAAAACGTGGCTAAATCACATAAAAAATGTGGCAAACAGAAGCTACCACACTTTTTGTAAATGTGGCTAATCATGGCGTAGCAATATTTTAACCACATTATTTGTTTCACTTAGCCACATTTTGATTGAGTGTGGTAGCATATATTTAGCTACAATTAAAGTTAAATTTAGAACGGTTAAAACGTGGCTAAAATAATTAAAAAATTTAAAAAAAAATAGCCACACTATATTGTGGCTACTTTTATATTTTCTGAAATTTAACAAAAACAACATTTATTGCAACATACAAGACACATACAATATTGCTTGCTAACAAGACAAATACATTTAATAATGTCTTATCATTAAAAAATGGATGAAACTCCATACATATTCGGCAATTACATAAGAAAACAAAATAAGGATTAGCTTAGTTCAAAAGATGGGCTCCTTGGCGGATACAACACCAACATAGCAGAGGAATGAGGTAGAAAATTAAGATTAAATCTGCACAAATATTAAAATATGGGTCAATAATTTGAAGAGATAAACTCACTAAGTGATATTAAAATATGGAATCTAAGCAAAAAGTTCTTTTTACTTGCCTGTAAGGGCTCCTTTTAAACTTCTCTGCATCTGATAATAACTGCTGAAGTTATCTGTTTCTCCCCTCAGCCTTGGAATCCAAAATGTCAAGAAGGAATGCAAGACAGATTGCGGCAGAACCACATTTCTCTTCAATAACATCCTATAAAGAAGGCTAATGTTAATCATCTTATATCCTCTCTCTCAAACTAATGTATGACAAGGTAAAGTTGGCAGGGGAGCAAACACTTACTGGACCATGTAGCTCGGTCACTTCTGGAGGAACAACATTTACTTCCATCTGCTCTAACGCAAATGATTCGATAGCTGAGGCAGTTCTTGCACCCTCATAAGGAATTGATATCAAGTGAATTTAGGGGTGCATCAAGTATTGACAGTAGAAACATATTATAATTTTTGAAAGAGCTGGCAACATAATGTGAATGTAAACAAAATTTGACGGGAAAGTATGGCAATAAATAAGAATGGAAACTAACTTCAACTGGTTCTGATGAGACATATCCCACATCAAATATAAGTAGTTCATTACTTTTTACAGATGCACAGACAACCTGAAATGAAAGAAGTAACATAAATAGTTGGGAAAATATAATATTGAATCGTCTGCAACAACAAAGCTATTATTAACGAATTTGACAAATCACTGGTCTCACAAAAAAAGCACAAGCACTAGTGAACGTGATAATTTCATTCGAAAAATAGTGTCAAATTATCAGAATACTATCCTTGACATATAACAAACGAGATACCACAAAGGAAACTAGCCAGATAAAACCGAAGCATTTTACATAGTATGTGGCGTAGATATTATTAGAAGCCTTCATCAATTTATAAATTTCATAGTACGATACTGAGTAAGAAGGTAATTTAATTAAGTTCAAACCTCATCCTGGTTAAGCAGATTCCATCTGACGGTATCAAGTTGTCGATTCTGTGAGAGGTGCAGCAAATGCTTGCTTTCACAATCTTTCAAGCCTGCCATCTCAATTAATACAAAACCATTTATTAAAGAACATTACCACTTCATTTGAAATTCCTCCCTATCAAAGGAAGAAATAAATATGAAGCTACTTCAAAGTAAAGTAGCAAATACAACACCAAGAGTAGAAATAAACACTTTTTCCTTACTCTACCAAAGAGTAGAAAAAAAGCATAAAAAATCCAAATTACTAATTTAGTTCCACTTATAAAAAAGAATAGAATAATTGCAAGAGAAGAAACATGTTGGACGGACATATTCAGATGAAAAATAAATATCCAATTATTGAAGCCCAATAGTCAAGCTAATGGCATTATGGTCTAGTTTTTGAAACATAATTTAGAAGAGGAGAAACCTCACATAAGAAGCCTAACTTAAAAACAGATCGGCTGGCAAGAAAGTCAATAGCACATCTGCTCCTAATAATTTTTATCATTCTACAATTGATTAGTTAAATATTAATTAAATACCGAATGCGACATATATGTCTATGCTTTTATGGTGATTGTTGTATTAAGCTACAAATAGAAAGCAATAGAGCAGATATAAAGGAAAAAACTTGTCAAGTGGAAAGTATTTACCAAGATTAACAGATGCAGGAATACTGATTATGAAACACTTGAATTCTAGTCTAATGCCCTCAAAATGAAAAGAGTCAATAGTTTGGTCAAAAGATACGGATTGTTTTGAAGAGCATAAAGCCATAAACCATTCTAGTACTAGTCTAACAAGTTTGATAAGCACAACAACATTTTGAAAATAAGCAACACACAAATACCAAAGCCAAACTTACAAGTTAATTCCTGTGTCTGGCAATAGAGAGCTTCAAAGTCATGAACCGTTAAGCAACCCGATTTTGTCACAGAAACCAAGTATATTCCTAGAATACAGTTCAAAAATAGAATATTTGAAATACTAAAGCTTTGGAAAAAAATAAAACAAAAAATAATCAACAGCTTAATGAAATTACTATACTTCTCAAAATGAAAATAAAGATGCTAACATAAAAGCAACGTGGGGGAATCGACATGGACAGAGGCATGCAAGAAATATAATCCATAAAAAAAAGTGATACATAGACAACAAAAACCGGAGGGTGAGATGGTTCTCAAACAGATGAAATTAGAATTACAAACAGTAGTTATAACTACAAGTCTGTGGCTATAATATTTTAAAGACTCAACGAATTCTGCATATACAGCACTTTCAACATTTGTTATTGTAAATTAATTTACAAGCTAGGCCTTAACAGACAGCAAAAGTAAGCAGGCAAAAACTCGCATTCAATCACACAAAGACACGAGCAATTACAAATTGCAATTTTTTTTATTGTTGTATCTTAACTCTTGTCACAAAACACACAAAGAAGTCAAAATACTGACTTCCAAAAAGGATGGAGATCACCATTTGCCTCACTAACAATTCGATTCATCTGTACAGCAAGACAGTAAAAATTTTCATTAAATTGAATCACAGCATTAGGAAATTCATGTGAAAAATACACAAAGTTATTAAAACATACATGAGATTGGCATTGAACCCCATCCACGTGGTACAAGTGCAGAAAGGCTCCAATCTTCACAAAAATTTAAGCAGAGCTTAAAAAACTCAGTTAGTCAACACGAACCAAAACCTAATATCCAAAACCCAGACGCAATATTTATTTTGGCAACCTATTATCCAAAACCTCATTTCAGAAGAATAAAGTAAAAGTCTAACTCAACTATATGGTACAGAAGTGTCATGGCCAAAAATAAGAGGCACATATGCAATAATTAATTATTATTCCTTTACTTTTTGTGAAGATTTATGGATACATGAGAAAACATATGAAAAAGTGAAGGAAATGAAAGGGGAAGCCATTGTAATAAAAAATAATTACTTACGGAAACTCACCTGAAAGCCCCAGCAAAAGCCAGAGCAGTATATTCTCCCAGGCTTAAACCACATGTAACATCAACAGAGTCAATAATCTGCTGACCTTCCTCGCGCACCCAAAGTAGCTCTACAGCAGCAAGACTCGTGACATAAATAGCAGGCTGAAGGAAGCAGAGATTCAAATGGTGAACATTACATTTATGGAAATCTTTATAAAACAACAGAAATTTCATGGAGAACTGAACGAGTTATGCATACTAGTATAATATAGTTCTTTACTTCTTTATTCTCTTTTACTTTTTATAAGAAATATCGATCACAAAGGAGGTCTGAGGCATGTGGAGGAGGGAATGAAAGGCTAAAATGCAGGCAAAGTGGCCTAGCTGGGATGTGATCCCCATGATCAAGTAGTTCCCATAGAGACTTAGCGTCACTTAACTTATAGCTCTGTGGCTCCTATTTCCTTTTCAAAGTTAACAGCAAAGGTTTTTGACATTTACATATTTTAATTGGATGAAATATAAAAGCTAAAGGCACAGGTTTAATCAAACATCTACAAACCTACATGAACATCTATCTACGTATCTTTGTTTAGGAGCATACCCAGATCAACAAAATTGGTAAGAACTTGACAATGAATTTTTTCCCCAAATTGCAAACTTATCTCCCACACATACACTACTTTATATTGGACATTCTTAACTTGAATCTGTAAAGTAAAATATGGTGTCATCAAATTAACTGTCAAAATTCAAATAGATAGTTAAGCATGCCGATTTTGACAAATGCATATAATAACTCACATCAAATTGGTATTTCTTTGTGGCTGCTTCTGCTGGGAAAGAGATTAAGTCAAAAAATCAAAAGAATCTGATTAAACAAGATGTGTGACTAGGGAAGTCTAAGCCAGCCATTCTACTCTTTGCAGACTTCTTGTATTCAGTATCTTGGATCCTGTATGGATATCATGGAGGTGAAGCAATGGTGTAGTAATATTCATACAAATTGTACAATGGTAAGTTGGACTAATCAGTTTGTTAAATATAAAGTAATTAAAAAAAATCCACACATAATTTCCAGAAAGTAAATGAAAAAACAATTCGTTAAGAACAGTGACTTTTTAAAATGAAACTCACCATATTCTTTTGTAAAGAACAGTAACGTTTTACAATATAACCATAGTGTGAAGCAGATGCAAATCAAAGTAATTAGAATTTAAGGAAACAGATTTGAATTGAGAATTAGGGAAAGAACCACTACTTAGGTTGAAAAGCACAAAATCAGAAGTGAAAAGAATAACTTACTGCCTTCATCATCATCAACGCAGAGAGAATTTCGAACAGTGACAAGGTTTAATGCAAAATCACAAAATGAAGTGACAAAATCAAGTTAGGGTTTGTGGCGTGGGAAATTTTAAATTAAATCAGGTTTAATGCATAATCACAAACCTGAGAAGGATTGTGAGGGAAGTTCTTACCGAGAGCAACAATGGATTAACTGTAAGAGCTACCCCAACAAAACCACCACTTCATTCTCGCTCTAAACTTTCTCAACTCTAGTAAGGTTAGATAGATAGTAAATCTGAAGGGGAAGATGGTGAGAGTAGAAGAGAGTCAAGGATTTGTAGGAAAGGAAGATGATTTTGGGAGCACGTAATAAAGAAACTTTGGTGCGTTATATTGAGCCCTGTTCGTAAACGAAAGCGGAATGCAAATTTGTTTTGCCGAGTAATTGAGGTGGGTTGCAACTTTTGCAAACAATGTAGCAAAATATGGGTCTTTTTGTAATTCTACCATCATCTCATTAAATGTGGTTAAACCAGTGTGGTTAAACGCCATATTTTTGGTAGTGTAAGTTTAAAGAAAAATTTATTTATTTTTTCCCAATTATCTTATTCAGTGTAATAAAATAGAGTTTTCATTATCGAAAGAGATAATATTTTATTGCACTCTCTTCTTAAAACAAATGATTTGTCAGTATTTTGTTTTTTTTCTATATATTTTTTTTAAAAAACACAAATTATTAATTACTTTTAAATTTTTTATTTCTTTCCAAATGTCAGCTATTTATAATTTCAAAACGATTATTTTCGATTTTTTATTTTAAAGTCAAAATTAATTTTAAATAAAAAATTGTGGAATCTCCCTCTATGTAGAGGGACGTGTAGGTTGTGTTTGACCGATGGTGTAAAGTGGGTATATGCACATATGAGAGGAACCCAATTTTTTTTAAATACAATTTTAAAGTAGAGTGTTCGTAGTTTGATGGAGATTTTTAAGTAGGCGGCTGGCGGTTGTTTCTGTTTTGCGTTGGCTGTTTCACATTTTACACCATCTATAAATCCAACTTGGGGCTTTTATTGTCTTTTTACCACTACCTTTCGGTTTTCTTAATCTCACTCCAAAATCCCAATGGTTGGTGTGTGCTTCATTGATAATATACACATAACCAAAAAAATAAATTAATTCTCTCATGTTAAATGTTTAGTTATGTAAAATTTTTATGTTTATTTTTTTATTAATATTGATAAATTATAAGAGAAATATAGATACAAACATTTCACACATAAAATTTTAATAAAAGAGAATCCATTCCAAAAAAATAAAATAAAAGAAGGGATGAAATGTGAAGGATGAAAGAATAATGGTACAATAACAAAAATTAACAATAGCAGAGTTTGCTATATCAATAGTAGAGTTGGATTCTCTCGTGTGAAAAAAATCATATTATTTGATCATAATCATTGACGTAAGAGAGAGAAGAATATATAATTCTTAAATGAGTGAGTGCGATCAAATCACATGATAATTTTTTTACATGAGAGGATCCAAATCCGAATTTAATATGACATTAAATAAGATAAAAAATTTCTTCAAAAATATATATTAATAATGGTACAATAACAACCGTTAACAATAACAGAGTTTCTTGTATCAATAAGAGAGTTTAATATGACATTAAATAAGATAAAAAATGTCTTCAAAAAAAAAAAATATTGTCGCAACCGAATCGCGACGTGACGGCGAAAGAATATTGAATGGTTAAAACAAAGGAGTCGCCACCAAGGTTTATTTAGGAAGACATTGGAAAAACCTTTTTTAAAGACAACTGGTTTTTGAAAACAAAAGAAATGGATTCGGTGGTCGATTACGAGTAGGGAAGGTATTAGCACCCTACACCGTCCGTTAAAAAACAGTTACCTTATATTAATTGTGCAAATTATTGATAATATTTTAAATATTTATTTCACCCCTAATAAATAAAATTGGTCGTTGAAAAAGAAAACTAATTTTGAAATTTTATTTTTGTGCTTGACGGGAAGAGTCCCGCTCCGACGTATCCCTCGGTACAATAGGGAACTCAAAGCTGCGTCGTTCTGTAGAAAATATTTGTGTGTTGATTGATTTTAGTTTTGAAAGTATTTTTAATTTGAAAGTTTTGGATTTGATGGTTTCGGAATATCAAACTGTCGCAGCTAAAATAATCTGAAATGATAATTGCAGGATTAACAAGCTGTCTCAACTCAGCTAATCCTTTCTTTTAAAAGAATAATAATATTCATATTATTATTTTTTGTTATCGTAAATTTTATGATAAATTTGATTTAATTTTGAATCATCAAGTCGTCTCGGCAAAAATGAGTCAAAACAAGATGTGTGGGGTTAACAAGTCGTCATGGCTTAGCTGACTCCCATTTAGACTGATCTTCTTATTTTTTATTTTCTGAATTAACACTATTAAATAAAAAAACTATGATTGTTTGTTTGTTCGCTTATTATTACTAACCGGTTTAAAATCATCGGACTGTTACAGTCGAAATGATTCTAAAGAATAAAGGAATTAACAAGCTGTCACAACTCAGCTAATCCTTTTAACATATATTTCATGTTATTTTATGATAACCTTAAATGAATTTTGAATCACCAAGCCATCTCGACAAAAATGATCCAAAACAAAATCTATGGGATTAACAAACCGTCACGGTTAAATTATTCATGTAAATCTAATATGATAATTTTTAGTTAGCAATATTGATAAAATCTAAATGGGTTTTATGTCATTATTAGTATAATGTAAAGAAGAGATGAATTAAAAAATTTGCAATGTTGTTTCATGAATGTGCAGACCAACGTATATATTAAAATATTCCAATCATGTTATAATAAGACAAAGTACCATGCTATCATCATTATCACAAGGATCATACGATACCAATCAACAATGCATTATTAAAGTATTAAATATTTGAAACATGAAACATGTATGGTATATCTAAGCCAAAAAAAACTGAAGTTTGCTAATGTACAAGATATTAATATATTCCTTGAATCCAAAAGATGGATAATAACACATCAATATTAATATTTTAGAATATTAAACTCTTTGTAAAAAGGTAGTTGTACACCCGCAAGAGTCATCAAAAGAGAATTTTGCATGTGATATTATTTAGCTATAATATTTTAATCATGCCTGGAACATTAATTGATGTCTACCATAACTTCATGAAAAGAATTGCATACTAATTAATTCTTTCATATCACAAAGACGGTAAGAAACGAAACAGACAAACTCATGCATCTTTATTGATCACATGATATCTTCATGCCACAAACGAAATCAAATGGAATAAATAAAATATGCACCCACATCACATATAATTGAAATCGAGTTGTGCAACTCGTTTCTCTAACGTTAAAAACACAAACCAGATATATGCTTACGGTCCACAATCAAAAGTAAGCATAACACTAATCCGTTATTATTTTTGAGACTTTTTGAATCAATAAATAATGATTTGAACCAAAGCAACATACCAGTCTCCACGCACGTGAGGCCTTCACGATGGTGATGACAAAATGGTCTGTGAGTTTTGAGCGATGAGGTGCAGTAGGGGATGATCTTCTGGTTCTAGCTTGCAGAGCTAAATGAAGCCTATGCAGCGGCAAAAGAGACCCTCCCTTTGCTACCGAAACTTTGCAGTAGATAAAACTATAGGTAGTTTCTTGGGTTGGCAATTAAGGTTATGGTGAGAGTTGAAGATTAGAGCTGAAGATCAAATTTGTATCTGGTTCCATGCCTCTAGATCAATGACCATGGAAAATTTGGGATTTCGTCCTCTCCCCATCTCTTTTTTCTTTGTTTTCTAACTCACAGAATACTCTTTCATAGCTTTCTTTTTTTTTTGTCCCCCCGGTGAATATTTGTTCTGCCCTTTTTATAGAATAACCATCACCTGCTTTTCTATTCTTATCTTTTCTTTCGCTTCCTAAACACGGTTCCTCTGCTTTCTTATCCTTTTACCCTGTCTTCTTCTGAATATTTCATGTGGGATTGCTTGAAACTAAACCACTTAACAAAGGCGGTTAATGAGGGAAGCTTGATTGACAAAGGCGGTTACGAGGGAAGGCGGTTTGGGGTATGGGTTAAAGATATGGCCACTCATGAAAAACTCACGTGGGATAGGCGGCTAAAATAGGTAGAAAGATGGTATCTTTTTATTTTATTATTTTTTTTACAACTAAAAATAAAAAAAGAAAATAGATTACGAAAGCTCATAAAGTTAGGAACATTATTGAATAGACCCTATTATTTTTTAATGTGTTAGGACAAAATTGAGTGATTACATATATATTGAAAATAGGTTACTCTAGTATTTTTAATTAGTGATAAGCTTGATGATACGAAAAGAACTAAATGAATTTTCTTAGATAGAAACTAATTGTTCTAACCTATTAAGTGTGTCTACGACGAGGAAAAATGTCCAACTCGATTAGCGGTGTTTTTTTATATGAATAGGATCCGAATCGCGAAACTGTCAATATGAACAAAGGATGTGCGTGTGAGGAATATTGTTGAGCCCAGAACAAAATAGTTTTTGAGATTCCATGAGAAAATATTGATGAGAGTGAGGCAATGGAGATAGGACAGTTGAGAGTAAAGAGAGAATATATATAACTGGAATTAATTGATAGTCATTGAATTAAAACTGATTGAACAGTAGTTAAATTGATACTAAGAATGATAAATTTAGTTGTTAGTTGGTAGTAAACATAACAACCTCCTAAAAGATATGACTAGCAAAGATTCTTCTCCAAATATCAATTTGAATAATAGGATTTAGAAGTGTAAAGATTTATCCCAAGTTTTTAAACCAATTGAGTCAATTTGCTTTAGCGGAAGTGAAATTATTGTAGGAAATCTTAGATTTATGCGGAAGCGTTTAGGACCTAGTACATTGGTATGCTTACCGAATCATCCTTGTTTCACAATTACCTCTCGGTGCGCAGGTCTCGTGTAGAATCTTCCCTTGTAGGATTCCTCTTCGAACAGCTCACCTCAGCGCCGCAGCACGAACAACCTCCTTGAAGTTGGACTGTGGCAGATCTTCCAAACTATCTCTCGAGGAGGAAGGGGAAGTGTGTGGGCACTGATTAGATTCAGAGCTTGCCTCTTTCTCACAAAAAAGACCTTGGAGGCTGATGACTTAAGAGGTACTATTTATATGGGTTCCAAGAAACCCTAGCTCATTGGGCTCTAGGTTCCTTGGGCTCTTCTCATACTAATAACTCATTTGGGCTTTAGTAAAAGAGCAAACCCAACAATCTCCCACTTGCTCTTTTGGATACAAACTTGAGTCGTAAAACCCAAGATCATGTAACCCATAAGTCATCATCTATCCGAAAAATACCCCATCCCTTGTCTCAAGCTAGCTTG